TTTCTTCAACAACTGGGAATTGAGCAGAAAAGGTACGTTATCCATTGTGATAGCCAAAGCGCATTGGATTTAAGTAAGAATGCGATGTATCACTCTCGTACGAAGCACATTGATATCAGATATCATTGGCTGCGTCAGGCAGTGGAAGAACAAGAATTCAAGCTAGATAAGATTCATACGGATAAAAATCCTGCTGATATGATGACGAAAGTTGTTGCACGAGAAAAACATCAACAGTGTGCCAAGCTGATTGGCATAGATCGCATGTGAAGATTCCAAGAGTGCACCTTTGTGCTGGAGGGGGAGAATTGTGAGGTCCAGCACATTTTCAATTTCGGTGCCCCCTTTTTTGACTTCATAAACAATTAATAATATTTTATTAAATGAATAGTAACTTTATTTGGCTATAAATAGCCGTGAAATGAAATTGAAGGAAGCACAAGCAGCAACACACACAAGATTTCATCAAGCATTGTGAGTGTTTGTGAGAGAAAAAAAAAAAATAGAGTGTTGAGTAAATCCTAAGAGTGTGAGAAAAATACACTGGGGTGGGTATCATCTCTATTTCTTCTTGGTATTACAAAATTTGTAATATTTGAATAGGAGTGGGTCTCACTGTGTACACTATATTTTACACCTCTTGTGTGATAGAGTGTTGAAAGGATATTGTAAATATCCTGAGATATAGTGGAATATTTTTCGGAGTTTGTCCCGTGGTTTTTCCTCCACATTGGAGGTTTTTCCACGTTAAATAGTGGTGTTCTTTATCTGCTTATTTTATTCAGTTAAAAATAATTCTTAGTATGCTCTGTGGTTGCAGTTTAGTCTGATCTTCCACATCAGAAAAGAATTATTTTTGTTATCCTTCCGTGGCTGATTGTTGGATTGCTGGAGAAGTGTGTATTTGTATTAGTGTTGTAACTGGAAAGATTCTGTCTAAGGAAAGACCTGGTATTTAAGTGATCCGTTGTGATCCACCTCTCTTTCCTGGGAAGTATTTCAGTGCACACTTTACAAGTTACACCGCTGCGCTGCTAGATCTATTTATTAGGTCTGAATTATTGCTCGCCAGTTTACGTCAGAATTTTAATTTACACGTCCAAGTTATTCCGCATTTGAGCTCAACAGTTCCAGAGGTTGAACAATTATTACAACAACGTGATGACATTGGGCGAGTCCTTAAGTCTAATCTGACTCGCGCTCAACATAAAATGAAACAGATTATAGATCGCAAGCGTGTGGATCTTGAGTTTACTGTTGGTGACTTTGTTTATGTGAAACTTCAGCCGTACCGTCAAGTAGCATTGCGTTCGCATCATCATCAGAAATTGGGACTTCAGTATTTTGGCCCTTTTAGGTTGTTGAACGAATTGTTAAAGTTGCTTATCGTTTATTGCTTCCCTCCACTGCTCGCATTCATTCTATCTTGCATGTTTCTCTTCTCAAAAAGTGTATCGGCAATCCTTCCGAGCAATACTTTTCACTACCTATGACTTTTGAAGAGGCCACCACTGCTCCAAAAACTATCAAGATTTTGGATTCACGTCGCATATTGCAATAGAGTCATTAGATAGATCAGATATTGGTTCAATGGTCTAATTTATCTGAAGAAGACAGTTCTTGGGAATCTGCATCTAATATTCAATCCAAGTTTCCAAAGGAGGGAGTGTTGATATGGATGCAATGGTAAATGCTGATGGGGACAAAATTAATATGAATAAGCCACGACGTGGTAATTGCCAGAAGCGCAAAACGTGAAAGTTACTAATTAATCACTAATGATTATTATAACTGTAATAGGTGTGCTATATTTATAATTCAGTTATAACTATATAGGGTGTGATATTATTAACTTCTTCTCTATTCTCTGTTTCCTTCCTTGTTCTCTAGCCAATGTCATTAATCTCAGTTTCTGATTGTAATTCCTATTTCAGAGATAGAGAATATATCTCTGTTGAATTATATAATTGCTGATTGATTTTGAGTACCATAACAAGTAACAATTAATAAGAACTAATATTTAATATATTTTTGAAATTACCGAATTCAAAATGTTAATAATAATAAATGTTATAATTTTTAATACAAAACAATATTAGTTTAATTTATTACTGTATGTCCCTTAGAACGTTAGAAAAAATAAACATTCATTACACCCGTTATTAGTATAAACTTCAAAGATTCATACTAACTTTGTTTTTGGGCTGTTAAGTCCCTTATCTAGAAAAAAAAATAAAAAATAAAATCCATACTAACAAACATGCATTGTAGTAACATTTGATGTATTGATAAAATATATTAATACTTTGATTAATAAAATTATTTATAAGTAATATAACATTTTGTTAACGCAAATTCACAAGGACTATATTAATAGTTAAATTATTGTGAAAAGATACTGATAAAGGTCAAGTTAATGTTAAAATGCAAATAAATAATTTTCTTCTTCTTTTTTCTCTTATTCAATGTAATGCATATACATTTTAAGCAACCTGAGGAATGTGAAAATCTTATTCTATTTCTATTTTGGGATTAAATGAGGCACATTTTGCCAACCTATAATTCATGTATCACGAGTCATTGAAGTGGATCATATAAAGGTGGTGTTCCTCTTTTTGGTTAAATAAGGTATGGGTTACCCTTGCCCATTACCATTTTATTTATCTTATAACTTAACATGAAAATCATAAATATTTAATAGGAACAATTGCTACCCTACTTGCACAGGGTGTTAGGTGAACTCCATTTCCAAACCTTCTACTTCAATGGATTTTATTACTTTATTTTCCACATAATTGAAAGCATTTGCTGGCCAAAGTGGTAGCTTTAGCCTTTAATTATAAATTTAATGTTAGTAAATTAACAGGTAAGAAATCAAATTGTCTCCTTTGAAAATAAGCTCCAAAGACTTGATTATAGTTTCTAATAACAAAGTATTCTAACGTCTACGTACTTATTTCGTTGACTATACACCCCATGTTTTATATTTATTTGGTCCACTAACAATATACTCAACAGCCACCCAATTCCATTTACGGCAATTAGTGAAGATAATTAAATTCTATCTTAATGCATATTCATATCAAATACTTGTTATAAATACACGAGCTTTTACTTATAAAATAAATCTTAGTTTATACTCAAAATTATTTGCGAAATTTTGAGTCCCTATGTTAGATTACCTAATCTGTAGTCTTCAATTTCCAATGTATATAATTTATGAGATTTTTAAATTTTAACCAATAGAAGTTAGACGGGCAAACAATAAAGATATCTTTTGGAAAAGATGATTTTTTTATACATAAATAATGGAATTTAATTTTGGTACATTTTCAGTATAAACATTTTTACACTGTTAATTAATTAAAAATTATCGTACATATAATTTTTAAAGTAAATATTAGTATTGTGTTAATATTTGATTAAACAATAATATTAAAATTATTTATACTTTGAGTATTTTTTAATTAAAATACAAATATTATTTTTTTTTATGTTGTCAAATAATGTAATACAGTCATGTTTAAGAGAACAAAGATATAATATTTACTAAATTTAATCAGTAGGACCTACAATTGATTTTGATAAAAAATCTGGAGAAAAGATCCACTAATTATATTTTATTTTGTGTTTTCTATAGCATTTCGAATGAAATAACACTTTTTATTATTTCTTTCTTGTTATAAATAACGATTAAGCGGACTAAAAGAGTAAGGCATAATAAATTATCTTGTCTATTTAAGATAAAATATTAAATAAAAAGAAAGACATTTAATGCTTTAAAGTTGTTTTTTATATGTAATTTAAAAACCATGCGGAATTTTAAAAATGTAAGATTATTTAACAACGTATTGCCTTATTTTTGAACAAGAGATTTTAAAATAAAAAATAAAAATAAAAAGCACGATATGAAATGTTTAAAAAGAGAATTTAATATGAGAGGGGTTATAAATAATAAATATAATATTTATTATAAAAATAAGTTATTTAAAATAAAATTTTTATAATATTTTAAAATATTTTTTTATTATATGAATTGTAAAAATTTTAAAATATTATGGTTAAACTAAACCTAAAAGAAAATATAAAATTGTTGAATGACATGAAGTCTGCTCCTTTTAGCAGTCCATTAACAAGACAATGACGCGATATATGAAAAAAGGCTGTAATTACAAGGGATGATTAATTTTGTTTATTTAAATTAATAATCGTTAATTTAGATTTTTATTACATTTTTAATTGGCAAATAATTATTTAAATATGTTAATAATTTTTTAAAATAAATTTTATTTCTAAACAAGATTTCAAAAGTAAGCACGATAAAAAGGTTGACCATTAGATACGGTAAAAGGTCTTATTACCAATAGTCTATTGTAACATACGTAACAACAGTTGGCCATTGGTGGGGCCACGCTTGCCCGCCATTTGCTAAACCGACTTTAAGAACACTTTGTTTGAATTAAAAACAAAATAATAACAAAAAAGTAAAAAATATTTATATTGAGTTTTTTTTTTTATATCATATGAAATATTAATCGATATAATAATAGAATAATTAAATCTTCCTCCCTCTCTCATGTCTTTCATTTTTAAATAAATGACATTTTTGTGAATTTCACTATATTTACATTTCAAAATTTTTTCTATTTCTTCTCCTTCATTTATTTCTCTTTTAAATTACCCAAAACAAACAAACAAAGTCTAATTTCAACCCAACTCAAATCTTGTCATTTTGAGTTTACATTAATCACAAATACAAAATAAAGCTATTGTCCGAAAAAATAAAAAATCTGATAATTTAAAATTCTTACATTATTATATAAAAATAATAATTATCTTGAAGAACAGCTAGTAACCGACTAACCGCATAATGGCACCCTGTTTTGAGCAATAAAAATTTGTTTTATTTATTTATTGTCGTTACAGTGTAATTCAAAGTATGACACCTCACTCCCCCATCCATCCCTGCGTGTCTCTCTGTGTTCTGCTCTACACGATAGCAGTGCCTTGCTATTAGCCACTGCTCTCACTCTGTTTCTTCTTTATAACATTGAACCCTTTCTCTCTTCTCCGTTTCCCAATGCCTCACCGGAAAACCCTACTTTCTTTCTTCTTTTTCTTCACCGTCACGATTATCGCTGTCGCCGCCGATGATGGCGCCGTCATGTCTAAGCTTCTTAAATCGCTAACGCCCCCGCCCTCAGGATGGTCATCGGGAACTCCATTCTGCCAATGGAAGGGAATCAAATGCGATCCATCGAACCGCGTCACTAGCATAAACCTCGCCACACAGTCCCTCACCGGAACACTCCCCTCCGATCTCAATTCCCTCTCCCAACTCGCCACTCTCTCTCTCCAAGAAAACTCTCTCTCCGGCGCCATCCCCTCCCTCGCCAACCTCTCCGCCCTCCAAACCGTCTTCCTCGGCCACAACAACTTCACCTCCGTTGCCGCCAATGCCTTCGCCGGCCTCACCTCTCTACAAACCCTCAGCCTCGGTTCCAACCCTAACCTCGCACCCTGGACCTTCCCCACCGATATCACCTCCTCCTCAAACCTCAACAATCTCGACTTCGCCACCGTGAGCCTCACCGGTCCGTTACCTGACTTCTTTGACCAATTCCCCTCCCTCGTGAGCCTTCGCCTCTCCTACAATAACCTCACCGGTGCTTTACCTAACTCTTTCGCTGCTTCTTCAATCGCCAATTTATGGCTCAACAACCAGGAGACTGGCTTGTCGGGTACCATTCAGGTTGTCTCCAATATGACGCAGTTGACTCAGCTTTGGCTCCATAAGAACCAGTTCACTGGTCCTATTCCCGATTTGTCACAATGTAAGGGCTTGTTTGATTTGCAGCTCAGGGATAACCAGTTAACTGGTGTGGTTCCTGATTCTCTCATGAGTCTTTCTAGTTTGAAGAATGTTTCTTTGGATAATAACGAGCTTCAGGGGCCTGTGCCGGTGTTTGGAAAAGGGGTACAGGTTACTCTTGATGGGATCAATAGCTTTTGTAGGGATACTCCGGGACCTTGTGATCCCAGGGTGATGGTTTTGCTTCGGATTGCTGAGGCGTTTGGGTATCCCATTCGATTGGCGAGTTCGTGGAAAGGGAATGATCCGTGTCAGGGTTGGAGTTTTGTTGTGTGTGCTGCGGGGAAGATTATTACTGTGAATTTCGCGAAGCAGGGTTTGCAGGGTACCATCTCGCCTGCATTTGCAAATTTATCTGATTTGAGGAACTTGTATCTCAATGGGAATAATTTGACTGGTACTATACCTGAGAGCTTGATCACTTTGACTCAGCTTGAGACTCTTGATGTGTCTGATAACAACCTTTACGGAGAGGTTCCGAAATTCCCACCAAAGGTGAAGTTAGTGACTGCTGGTAACGCTTTGCTTGGGAAAACTCCTGGTTCTGGAGGTGGAGCAGGTGGAACTACTCCATCTGCAGGGTCTGCTCCTGGTGGAAGTCCGGCCGGATCGAACACGGGCGCATCTACGTTAACGCCTGGTTGGATTGTTGGTATAGTTGTTATTGTTATGTTTTTTGTTGCAGTGGTGTTGTTTGTGTCTTTCAAGTGTTATGCCAAAAACAGGCACAAGAAATTTGGGAGGGTTAATGGTCCTGAAGATGAAAAAGGAAGCTTTAAACGCGATGTTATAAGTGTTTCTAATGGATATGGTGGTGTTCCGAGCGAGTTGCAAAGCCAGAGCAGTGGTGATCGTAGTGACTTTCATGCTTTTGAGGGTGGAAATGCTACCATTTCGATCCAAGTTCTTCGACAAGTGACGAATAATTTCAGTGAGGATAACATTTTAGGCAGGGGAGGCTTTGGGGTTGTTTATAAAGGGGAGTTGCATGATGGAACTAAAATTGCTGTCAAGAGGATGGAATCTGTTGCAATGGGAAACAAAGGAATGAATGAGTTCCAAGCAGAGATTGCAGTTCTTAGTAAAGTTAGGCATAGACATTTGGTTGCTCTTTTAGGATATTGCATCAATGGAAATGAAAGGCTTTTGGTGTATGAGTATATGCCTCAGGGCACATTGACACAGCATCTGTTTGAATGGCGTGAACATGGTTACGCTCCTTTGACTTGGAAACAAAGGGTAGCAATAGCTTTGGATGTAGCACGGGGGGTGGAATACTTGCACAGCTTAGCCCAACAAAGCTTCATTCACAGAGACTTAAAACCGTCAAACATACTACTTGGTGATGACATGAGAGCAAAGGTTGCAGATTTTGGATTGGTTAAAAATGCACCAGATGGGAAGTATTCTGTTGAGACACGGTTGGCTGGAACATTTGGATATCTTGCACCTGAGTATGCAGGTATTATAAAGCCTTCGATTTTAAGTTTGTGCCGTAATTTTTGAAGTTTGTAATTTTTAAGCTCTTTTTTGGTGGTTATAGCTGTAGGTTACTACTTCAATATCGTGCTTTGGTGTTGATGAGAAAATTTAAGTAGTTCAAAAGGGAACCACACACCCAAGGTCGCAAGGAAAAATATTGATATCCAATCCGATACGTGGCTACTTTGCATTTTCATTTTTGGCCTCTTTCACAAGCATTATTCTGCTGCATTGGGTTATTGTATAATTCTTGGTTGATATTTGCAGGACTCAGAATAGCCATTTATAGACTTTTACAAGAGTCTGACTCCCAGTTATCCCTTATTATGTGATGAATACTGTGGTTGCATTAAACGTTGTATTGCTGTAGATTGTCATGCGCTTAGGTGGTAGTTCTCTGTTGCTACTTGCTCCTAATCACCATTGTGGAATTTATCCTCCCATCCCATCCCTGGGTGGCTTGGTGCATCTACACATCTTTTGTTGAAGTTAGCCAACTTTGAGTGGGGGTGTTTTGGTCCATCTAGCATTAAAATTTTTCCAACGTAAAACTTTTCAAAGTGCTTGGCCTCTAGTTTAATTTTGAACAGTTATAGTATATGCTTGACTATTGTTGCATTGAATGCGGTTAGTTGTGTTTGATTTATGCTAGTCTATTCATTTGATTGTATTTAATGTAGTCTTGTTTCTTGCCAGCTACCGGAAGAGTGACAACCAAAGTGGATGTTTATGCATTTGGGGTAGTTTTGATGGAACTTATCACTGGTAGGAAGGCGTTGGATGATACTGTGCCAGATGAAAGGTCTCACTTGGTTACATGGTTCCGAAGGGTACTAATTAACAAGGAAAACATCCCAAAGGCAATTGATCAAACTCTCAACCCTGACGAGGAAACCATGGAGGGCATATATAAAGTGGCTGAGCTGGCAGGCCATTGCACGGCTCGTGAACCATACCAAAGGCCAGACATGGGTCATGCAGTGAATGTTTTGGTTCCTCTTGTGGAACAATGGAAACCTACCAGCCATGAAGAAGAAGACAACTTTGGCATTGACCTTCAGATGAGCCTTCCTCAAGCTCTCCGAAGGTGGCAAGCCAGCACTTCCTCGACATTTAATGACGTATCTTTCTCACAGACCCAATCTAGCATTCCCTCTAAACCTGCTGGATTTGCAAACTCCTTTGATTCAATGGATTGCCGATGATCAAAATGATAAATGAGACAATTATGAAGGTATCTTAGAAGATTTGGTTGAGGAAAATAATACCCAAGAAAATCAAATATTATTAGGCTGCTTGGTCCTGTAGCATCACCAAATTATTTGCAAATTTTTTTTTATAATTTTTTTAAAATGTCATTTTTTTGGGTGTTCTTAAATCTCCTTAACTGAGCTAAAAGATATGTAAGTTTGACCTTTTTTTTATTGATTCATTTAAGCAGATGGTCCAGGATGATTAGTTTTTGAAGGAAGGGAAGAACTATAGAAATGAGAAATGTATTATATTCTTTTTTTTTTGGGAATCAGAGGTATATGTATTGCTTGTTTATAATCGTTTCTTTCTCTTGTTCCTGTTTTTGGTAAGGTCTAATGTGTATATGAATCATGAGCACTTGATACCTTGCAAATCAAAAGTAATTAACCAGATGGAGCAGCGTTTGTCAGTCAAATGAACATTGAGACCACCTGCTCGGTTATAGTGAGCAGTTGGGAAACTTAAAACACAGTTTTTCTAATGGAATCTATGAAATTGTTTTAAGCAATTCTGAGTTGGATGAGGTGGTTACATAAAGTCTTTCCTAAATAGTTATAATAAAAATCAAGTTCAGAACATTATTGGTAAGTCTAGCTCGGGCTGCGTACCTCCGCTTCGTAAGGAGACAGAAATGAAGCCTACAAAATGAGAATTTAAATACATAATTACATTCATATACAAAATTATATAATTTAGTTAAATTTTTTGTTCATAATTTGGCATATAAAGTTTTTGTTCTTTTCTAAAAGTGTGGATAGAATCTTTAAAATTGGGTTGGTGATGGGGTGAGCTTTATCTCACATGATGAGCCTATATAATACGTGACCGCACGTATGGTGTGTCAAAGCTGGACCTTTATAAAAACTCAGCAGATGGATAACTTTGGTAACAAAGCACATGTGGTGGGTACCAATTTCTGCCTTCTTTATTGTTGTTACGTATGCCGTATCCATGTTAAGTTGCACGCCACATTCTAGATGCGTTTTTTAGCTGTTGTGAAAAATATTGGGCAGATTGAGCAGTTGAAAATAATTGGCAATGATAATTGAGATTCAATTATATCAAAGAGAATTGTCCAAAAAAAATTGCATGACAGAGAAAGTTCCAATTGTTAGATTAGTTCGTCACTCCTTGTTATTTATTTTTTTAAGTGCCTGCTGGTCTTCATAAGAACGTGAACACCAGATTTACATAACAAGTGTGGAATGTCATGTGCTTAGAATCAGTGCAGGTTAGATGGATCCTTCAAATTTCAACTGCAATATTTTTAGCAGTTAACAAGACAGCCCACTCTGGAAGATATGGTTGGTGGACTATATTCACGGTTTCATCATGTAAAATAGATAATTCATCAGCCTTTCAATATCACTGCATAATGTATCCTTTGTTTGTTTTGAAAATCTGTTTAATGAATCGTTATGGTAGCTTAAGTTAAGCTTATTTATTTTTTAATATAATAATATTAACATAGAGGTTTAAAACTTATCATTTCATGCAAAATAATTTTTAGTTTAGATTTTATGTATTATCTATTTGAAGTAATCTTATTTAAGTTAAGCACCATAATATGAATGATAAATTTTTCTTTTTAAATATTTAATACAATTGTATTTATTAAAAATTAATTTGGATTTTTATAAAATAATTTTAAATTCTTTTATCATAATAGAGGTTTGGGAATTGAATTTTGAAAAAAAATAATATAAAGAAGTAAGAGAGTGTAAATTCTTTGTTTACCTTAATTAAAATATAAAGCTTTTTTATACCTCCATCAAATATTAATCATATTGGTAAGAATGATTAACGTTTAAAAGTATGGATAATTTTTTAAGAAAAATATATTATTTTATTAATAATAAATGATTTAATGTATTAAATATGATTTCATTAAAAAAAAATATATTTTTAAAGATAAAAAGTATTGAAATAAATTATTAAAATACAAAATACCACCTCTATTAATAAGGTGTGTCATAATTAAAACTTAAAATAAGGTTAACTAATATTAAAAATTGATAAATTCTGTGATATCTTAAAAGAATTTATTTAAAATAAAAAATAATATAAATAATATAATTTTAAATAAATTATATATAATAATTTTTTAACTTGACACGTGTCTCTTTCTTATTAGTTTAAATTTTTTACTTACAATACTCATAAAAAATTTTAGAATCTACAACACACACTTAAAAATTTTGAAAGAAATAATATTTTTTTTAATGTGTGAATTTAATGCTATCAAATAACTCTATTAATTTTTTTTATTAGTTTTAATGTGTTGAAAATTACACGATAAAAGAAATTAATTTAAATTAATTTTTAATAAAAATATTCTTCTTTTTAAAAGTTAAAACTCATTTATTATTATATTTATGATAATTTATTTTTGCCGTTTCGCTCTTTTATTTAATAAAATAAACAATAATTTAAATGAACTGATAACATTAGTCAAGTTGACGCACACCAAAAGAAAAGGCGACGAGGCTTAGAACGTTGTTCCATGGTCCGTTTTCTTTGAAAAATATGAAAAATAGTTTATTGACACTTCTTTAAGTATATATATATATATATATAGAAAAAGAAAGAAAGAAAATCATAAATTTAATAGAGAGAGATAAAAAAAATAAAATAAAGAAAACATACATACAGATCCAGAGCAAGTTTGATTTTCTTTTTAAAAATGATTTTCTATTTTAAAAAATAAAATATAGTACAAAATTTATATTATATTTTATTTTTAAAAATAAAACACTGATATTAAAAGGAAATCAAAATGCTCATTCTCCCTTACAATTTTCCAACATTTCATTTTCTTTTCTAACGAGTATTGACGTTTGTTCAATTGGTTTGCGTTTCTTTGTCCTTACAAATTCGACATCTTTCATAAATAGATGCAATAATCTTCACAGTACTCATAAAACGCATGCAATGAATTAATCTAACTCAACGCAACCCTACTACTTTGCTAAAGGAGTTCAGAATTGAAGCTTGCATTAGAAATGAGCGATTCAACCAGTAAAATTTTCAGCGTTGTTCTCTTCCTTGTTCTCATTTCTCAAGGTAATGTTTTCTCCCAATATATGAAACATAAAAATGTTATGAAATGTTATACATAATCCCATGCATCATCGATTATGTGTAGGTTATGGTCAATGCTCAATAAGAGATCTCTCTGTAAGGTAACATCAAACGGGAGCTAAAGTGCAGGAAAAGCAAGAATGGAGTGTGACAATCATCAACAAGTGCACATATGTTCAAACCAATGTGCTCTTGAATTGCACTGGATTTCGATCCACTGAACGCATCAACCCTTCAATTTTGAGGGTCTCAGGCAGAAATTGTATTGTTAATGATGGTAACCCAATCTATAGAGATGCAATATCCTTTAGATATGCTTGGGAGCACCCATTTCCATTAAATCCCATTTCCTCACAGATGCTTGTTCTTAAATGACAAGGGATTTTCTCTAATAAAACTTGATTTTCTTGTACACTTGAAACGTTTCAAAGAGCTACATGTTCTTAAAGTGATCTGGTTTTTCTTTAATTATCAATTTTGAAGGCTGGTAGTTCTACATTTTTTTTCTTTTGAATCTTGATAAAAACATCCATGAGTTCAATACTCCATTGGTTACCAACTGTTTGAATTTAGTAAATTGAAATAATTTCGTCATAGCTGGAGCTAAATGCAGATTATGCTAATAAAAAATTGCAGAATATTAGTGATGATGTGTTTAAAATGAACTTTGAATTTCTAATTTCAGAAAAAAAACTATAAATAAATTCTTAAGGGTATAAGTTTGTTAATAGGAGTTTATTTCTAGTTTCACCGAATAACATAATTTCATTATCAACATTTACCCTTGTTAATTTTAATTTTAATTCTAATTAACTTTATTATTAAGGATAAATTAACTGAAAATATATAATAAATGTTTCATAAAAATTATAAAATATCTCATAAAATATATTACTAAAACCTTCTGTACGTTTATTAATGCGTTGATTTTATTTATTATTATTTTTATAGACATCACTAGTCATAAATACTATCTTTCTCTGTTTTTTATTTGAATTTTAAGTTAGTTATTTTTGAAATATATAAAATATAGAATCATAAGTACTTGTAATTTCTTTTCATTAACGTGTATTACTTTTAACATTGACTTTTACTACATAAATTATTAAGATAAAATTTTAAAATTAATTAAAATAGCATAAAAATAAGAACAGTTCGCTTGTCAAATAAATCTTCTCACAAATAAAATTAAAAGTAATAATAATGCCATACAATTCAAATTTTATATTTATTATTTTTTCAGTACATATAATTTTTTAAAATTGTTATTTTGTTTAATATAGGTAAATTTAATATATATATATTTTTCATTTTATTTTTACATCTAACTTTTCAAAAGAATTTTTTTTAGCATTAAACTTTAACTTTTAAGTTGTGTTGATATAATTAAAAATTTAAAATAACTAAAAATACTAAACTTTTAAATTATTTTATTCAAATTTTTATTATTTTAAAATGATTATTTGGATAAAATAATTAACTTTTCTTTATTTTAAATTTTTTTATTTGCATAAAATATTTAAATTACTCATTCTTAAAAAAATAAAATTATTACTATATTTAAAAAAATTAAAAATAAGAAATTTAAATTATTAAATTAAATATAACTAAATAATAATATTAATAAAACACATGAAAAAATAATTTTAAATTCACACTCTTTTATTATAATTTAAAATTTTTAATTTTAGACTATTAAAAATCTCAATTAAAATTTTATAAAATTTTAAATTTTATAAAATCATTATAATCTTTTTTTTTAAAATAAATTATTCACTGTGAACATTTTCCGGAATATTGTTGTCTTCTTCCTCCTTGCAGTAACCGCGACCCTTGGCGCTCTCCGTTGAAGCAGTGTCAAGAAAAGCGTAAAGCACCCAAAGTGACTACAACAATGAGTCCCACTGCAAGCCTAGAACCATTGAACCACCACTACTGATGAAGCACAAAGATGTTTGACCCATGGCTTGCACCATTAATTCGTTCATACATAACACTGTTGTTCCCATGGTTGATCACCACGAAGAGTGAGAAGAATATCACAAGTGTTTAGCAGCAAAGTATAAAAACAAAAATAATAGAGTTTAATTTAATTCAAAATAAATAAAATATTAAATCATTGTTTAAAATTTAAATATTAAAATAAAATAATTAGAGAATTTAAATAAATAAAAAAATAAAGTTAGATCGCACAATATTAATTTTATCATTATTACATATAACTGAATAATCTAATTATTAATATATATTTAATTATTTAAAATAAAAAATAATTTAATGTGACTATTTATTAGCAACAACTAAAATAAATATGGTAAAACGGTACTTTAAAAAATGAAAAAATATTTTATGTTCTTATATACATAAAACAATTATAACGATTGATTTTAGTGATAAAGTTAGTATATTAAAAAAAACGTAAATATTTTTTAATATCTTAATATAATTTTAAAAAAGTATTAATATATTTTCAAATTTAAAAATACTGTAACAAGTATATTAAAGTATTATTTATATTTTTAATATAGATTTAAAATTTAAGTATTTTAAAATACTTTATTTAAAATAATAATTAAATTATTATATTTATCTTTTTCTTCTCACAATACACACATACACACGTCATTTGTTAATGTATAAAATGACAAATTAATTATTTCTTTTAATTATTTAATATTAAAATATACAATTATTTTATAATAATAATTAACAATTAACGTCTTATTCGTATTGCCCATATAATTGACAAATTACGAGTAAGTAATTATATTTTCTTCTAATTATAGTAATTACATAATTTCATTAAAAGGGTATTTAAATTTTTTATAAATAAATTTTAATTATAGAAGAATCTGTTTTTCAAAGGAAAATAATTCAAATGCTTTATAATTTTTACAATTCTATTGCAAAGTCATCATATCTTTGAATTGAATGATTGTAAACGCTATGGTGTGTACCTTATTTTTAATTGCACCAAATCCCAAATTTACCTTGTTTCTATTTTTTTTTTTGCCTTAATTGGAAATTTCATAAATGCAAGAATCCTCACTCATGTATAAATGGTGCAACATGCCAGTATTGTACTGCACCTAAAGGAGTTAAAGAATCCAACCTTGCATTTGTGCAGGAGAAATGGCCGAATCAAGCACCAAAATTCTGGGAGTGGTTCTCTTCCTTGTCCTCGTTTCTAAAGGTAACATCGTGTCCCATGTAATGAGCATAAAATAAGGTTGTAAATTGTTGATAACTTATCCCATGCATGGATGGTTGATTATGTGCAGGCTATGGGCAATGCTCCTTGAGTGATCTATCAGTGAAGCAATCTCAAACAGGAGTCAAAGTGCAGCAAAAGGAAGAATGGAGTGTGACAATCACCAACAATTGTGCATGTGTTCAGAAGAATGTGCTATTGAATTGCTATGGATTTCAAAGCGCTGAAAGCATAGACCCTTCAGTTTTGAGGGTCTCAGGCAGTAACTGTCTTCTTAACAATGGTCAACCAATCTATAAAGATGCTGTTTCCTTCAAATATGCTTCGGACCAGCAATTTCCATTAAACCCCGTTTCCTCTGAGATTGCTTGTTCTTAAAAACCCAACCCATTTTTTGTAATAAACCTTTACGTCATCTGCTCAAATAATTGCTTATTTTATTGTCTACTAAAATGTGTTTGCGGGTGATTTTTGTGAAGAAAGTATATGAACAAGGATCCAATTAATAAAATTTTATCTTATGTCATGATCCAATTATTCTATATCGGTAAATTATTTTCAACTTTTGTATTATCACACCCCCATAATTTGTAGGTGAAACCTGCTCAGGAAATGAAACTAACGTAAAAATGGCACAAGAAGTAAATTGAACTTCATTACCTCCTGATCTTCTGTTGAAAGTGTGTGTATAGACCTCATTTCTGAAAACATGGAGATCGAACGAAGTAGGCACAAACTAATCAAGTGATATGATTTTTCTTTAATTATCGATTATCTAATATAATTGTTCTATTAATTATAAAGATCGATGAGTTTAATTAGTAGGATAAAAAATTTCTCATAAACCTAACAAAAATTTTCTTCTATAATTAAAAGAGTACTGAGTTATAGAGACTGGAGGTATGCATAGCATATAAATACAGATTATGCTCTAAAAATTTAAAAATATCAATGATGATACTTTATCATGTATTTATTTAAAAAGCAATTTTGTATTTATAATTTCAGAAAAAAAGTATAGAATTATTACAAATTAAAATATAAATTATAAGGTACTATTTGATTCAAATAAAAGGAAGAAAGTTAATAAAATAAACAAAATATCTTGTCTAATTTACTAAGGGAGAAAAAGTGAAATAAATAAATTTATTATTATATAATTAAAATAATTAAATATACATATTGAAAATTTTAAAATTTCAACAAAATTTAAAATCATAAATGAGTTATTGTTGATAAATCACTTGCTAGTATTGTTCATTCAAAATTTCTAAAGACAGAAACGGAAACTAATGGAAAAATGTAAATACTCGCTAAAAAAAAGAAACGCGGAGAAATTGTAAGCGATTTGAACTTGTCTGTCATATGTTTTTCAAAAATAATTTTTTAAAGTAAAGTAAAATAAAATATATTTATTAACATAAATTTTATTTTTATTTTCTGTTTAAAAATAATTTTTTAAAATTAAAAACCAAAAAAGATTCTGTTTTTAAAAACAGTCTCTTTTAAAGTAAAAATAAAATAAAATTTATTTATTAACATAAATCTTATTTTTAAAAATAATTAATATCCCTCATCTTTTATTTTTCCTTTTAAAAACAAACCACTTAACATTTTTAATTCTAAATTAAAAATATTTTATAATATTAAAATTTATTTAACGTCCCTCATCTTTATTTTTTTTTATCTCTCTCTTAAATTTAGGATTTTTTGTTTTTTATTTTTATTTTTTATAGACATATATCATAAATTTTAAAAAATATTATATATATTTAAATTAATAATTATGATTACTTTAATATTTTAAAATTAAAAAAATATTTATATTTTTATAATAAAATACTAATATTAATTGTCTATTATACATATTTAATATAATATTAATAATATTTATTACTTTGCCCTTTTTATGTTCGTCAATCAATTCATTTAAATTATTTTTATTTAAAGAAAGAAAAGTGAAAAACAATTATAATAAATATGACAATAAATGAGTTTTAACTATAAAAAGAAGGAATATTTTTTATTAAAAATAAATTGAAATATGTTTTTCTAATACTTATCCAATTTTAAACATATATTAAAAATTATAAAAATTTTATTAAAAAATATACCATATTGTATTATTAAAGTATTGAATTTTGTGATATATTGTGTTATAGTAATAAATTTACAATACACATTTTTATTATGAATATTTTTTTTGCTAATATTTACTATTATGAATCTTTAAACATGTATTAAAAAATTAATTTATGTAATAATCATAAATAAAATTTCATTTTTGTTAATTTAATTTTTATAATAAAATTTAAATATCTGAAAATCATAAATTTAAGATTTTAGAACAACTTGATCATGCGATATTGCTGTAAATTAACCAAACTGCAGCACATAACATAGAGGTTTATTACACAAAATCCCTTGGCAATTTAAGAACAATGAACTTCTGAGGAAAGGGGATTTAATTGAAATTTTTGGTCCCAAGAATATTTGAAGGTGATAGGATCTCCATAGACAGGGCTTCCACTGTTAAGAAGACAAGTAGTGCCTGTGACCCTCAAAATTGAAGGGTCTATGCTTTCAGCTGATTGAAATCCAGAGCAATTCAAGAGCACATTCGTTTGAACACATGTGCATAAGTTTTTTATATTCACTTCCCATTCTTGCTTTTGCTGCACTTTAGATCCTGTTTCAAATTGACTCACGTAGAGATCACCCAAGTTGCATCGACCATAGCCTGATATAATCATTGATGCATGAGAAAAGTTATGAATAATCATTTATAATTTTTTTATGTTGATTATATTTGGAGAAAATGTTACCTTCAGAAATAAGGATAAAGAAGATAACTGTGCTGAGAATTTTGGTGGTTGAATCGGCCATTTCTGCAACACAAATGCAAGCTTCAATTCTTGAACTCTACAATTAATGGTGGTAATTGTAGATGCTGGTATGCTGCGTTATTTATAGATGAGTTATTGCTGATAAATTACCTTGCTAGTGCTCATTCATTGAAATTTTGTCAGTTTTCCTATGTTGGAAAATAATATTCAAAATAATAAAGAAAATGTTGACATTAATTTTTTCGACTACGTTTAAATAACTAATGATAATAGATTTTTTTTATTAAAAATTATTTTTTAAATATTTTTGTATTTTTACTATAATGAATATTTTGTTTAACAAAAATTAACTATTTTAAAATTTTAAACATAATTTTAAGAATTGATACTAACATTATTAAATAATAAAATAATTTTTTATGTGTGGTATAAAGATTTTTACAACGAGAAAGGCTTGAAACACACTTTTTAATAATTTTTAATTATTAGTTAAAATTTCTTAAAAACTTAAAAAAATTAGAATCAGTCATAATTTAATAATTTTAGTTAATTATTGTAATTTTTTTAATAAGACATACACTTGTATAACCACTTTTATCTTTTATTAGTTGATATCAAACAAAAATAATAATTTAAATAATTAAATCTTAAATAATTTAGTGAAATGCTGTGTCCAGCTGATTCCAAAGAAGCCAAAATTACATAGATGAAATACACAGTGAAAGTGGACCCATCATCAAGAGTTTATCCAAAATCCTCCTTATTATTATTTTAATCGTCATACCCAAATACTATTATTATTATTATTATAGTGTTATTAATATTTCATGTTAACCAAATAAATGTTGTTTAGAGTGAGAATTAAGTATCACAGGAATTATAAATGATAAATATAATAAAAATTATCTTTTAAAATAAATAATTTAATTTTTTATTTAAAATAAAAATTATTTAATTAACATTCTGTAATATTTTATAGCTATTTTTTTAGTATCTAAATACATAGATAAATGGTAAGAATTCAGTTACGGTCCAATCCCACTAATCACTTTTCTTTTCTGGGCCAACCCGCTGATGACTAATCAAAGCAAAAAGTGAGACCCAAAGTTGCCATAAAGAAAGTGATGCAATAAACATGGGACGATGGGTTTGGGAATATAATATTAGTAATGTTATTTACATACTATTTTTTATTCATTTATTTTTGCTGATAAACATGATCTATTAAAATTATTATAATTTTTAATTTAACTAAGTTTTGATAATCTTGTAGTTTTTTTATGTTAAAGGTTCTATAATTAGCTTATAGAAACTCTTTATTATGCATATATGTTTGTTTCTTAAAAGAATTTTTTTTTTATAGTTTTTTAGAATCAATATATAATTATATTTGACACAACTTATTATTTTAAGTAAAAGAGAAGTAAAATAAAATGAATTTAAAACTATCATAATAAGTTGAGGAATATTTTTTTAAGAAAAAATTTCATTATTCTTAATAAATTAATACTATTTATTAACTTATTACTAAATTTTTTAAAAAATTATAAGAAACAAAAATAATTTTTAAGGGCCTAAAGCGGGAGCTTTACCCGCTTTATGGTTGGGCGGGCTTGTTTTCTACGCTTAGAATATTCTCTCCAGCAATGAGAAAAGATTAGGCACAGTGTAGTCCCCATTGATGACTTTTAAGAAACAGTAAAAGCAAAAGGAGAGGCTCAAAGTTCACAAAAAGAAAAGGTTTCAATGATCGTGGGGTATTACTGCACAATATTATTATGATCAGAACTCATTTCAATATACACTTAAGCATTGATGGTTACATTTGAATTGACAAATAAAAGGTCTAGACATGTATAAGCAATCATAATTTAGTCTCTATTGTGTATGATTTTGATTGCTTAATTTATTCACAAATGAAAGTAGTATACAACCGGTTCTTGTTATTCCAAGTGGACAAGAACTTGTTCAGTTTAAGTAAAGTCTTGAAGTTGAGTTTTGTTGATAAAAAATATTAGAATTGGTAGACTACGAGCTTGTTCACTTAAATGGGTGTTCAAGTCGGATTAGTGGGGGCTTAATGTGGCTTTTGGGTAGCAAAGGTTTAAGATAAATAACAGCAGCATAGTAATTGGTATACCTTCCTCTCTCTGATGATGAAGATATTTTTGTATACATTTCATTCGATTGAGCATAAGAATCTAAAGTTCACTGCACAAAAGGGAAGGGCTCACATCTTTTCTTATTTTCAAAAAGTTATAATGTCTGCATAGTACATAGAAGGCAGCTTTATGAAGCATGAGAGAGTTTGCAGCAACTTTGTATGTTTTGTGAATTTGGAAAAGCCTTTGAAGCTCTACTCTTATTAGGTAATGGATACTAATTCAAGAAACTTGAGATGGGCAAGAAAGGCCCAATTGCTTGTAGCTTGTGCTCTTCTTTTACTGCAAAACTCTCTGGTCATCTCTATAGAGACAACAACCTCTGTGAGTGCAACTTAAGTTCTAGTTTTGGTTTAGCATGCATGTCTATACATGTGAATAATATTTGTCATCGTTGCTCAATCAAATTGAATAAATGCTTGCAGGTGCATATTGTGTACATGGGAGATAAGATATATCAAAATCCAGAAACTACTAAAAAGTATCACCGCAAAATATTATCTTCACTTTTAGGAAGGTATGGCCTGTATCCTTCACATATTCATTTTTCATTGGAGCTGATCTTATATTACTTCAACAAGAGTCAAGAAAACAATAATAACTGTTTGATGTCTTTTGTTTGTTCTGAAGCAAAGAAGCTGCAAGGAATTCAATTCTTTACAGCTATAAGCATGGTTTTTCAGGCTTTGCTGCAAGATTGACAAAATCTCAAGCAGAAGCAATAGCAAGTATGATCCTAGCATTATTAATTAAGCTTGCTATTTTTCCCATTTCAGAACCTTTTAAAAGCTATATACCATTGCCATTTGATACAGAGTTTCCAGGGGTAGTTTCTGTCATTCCAAATGGTATTCACAAACTCCATACAACTAGAAGTTGGGACTTTATTGGGATCCATTATTCCTCCTCAAAAACTTCTTTCACTGACAGCAACTTAGGTGAAGGAACCATCATAGGTGTTATAGACACAGGTAGTACTATAATTAGCCTCTAACAAAAATAACTAAAAGGCATTGAGAAATGGCTATTTAACCAATAACAAATGTGATTTCTTGAAGGCATTTGGCCAGAATCTCCAAGTTTCAATGATGAAGCAATGGGACAAATCCCATCAAGGTGGAAAGGAGTTTGTCAAGTGGGAGAGCACTTCAACTCCACCAATTGCAACAAAAAGATAATTGGTGCTAGATGGTTCATGAAAGGAATAACTGATCAGACTAAGAAACTCCTCAAAGGAAATAACACTAAGGAATATCTCTCAGCAAGAGATGCTATTGGCCATGGCACTCATACAGCTTCAACAGCAGCTGGGTATTTTGTAGGAAATGCAAATTATAGAGGACTTGGTTCTGGTTTGGCCAAAGGAGGAGCACCATTGGCTCATTTAGCTATCTACAAGGCTTGTTGGGACTTTCCTATTGGAGACTGTACTGACGCTGATATCCTTAAAGCTTTTGACAAGGCTATACATGATGGAGTAGATGTCTTAACTGTTTCTCTTGGCTTTGCCATTCCCTTGTACTCCTATGTTGATCAACGTGACACAATAGCTATTGGTTCCTTTCATGCAACTGCCAAGGGAATCACAGTTGTCTGTTCAGCTGGAAATTCTGGTCCTGCGTCTCAAACCATTACAAATACTGCACCATGGATTATTACAGTTGCAGCCACCACAATAGATAGGGCCTTTCCGGCAGCCATCAACCTTGGGAAAAACCGCACTGTGTGGGTATGCTACAACTACTTTCAAACCAAATTTGTGAAATATGCTTTCAGCTAACGCTTAATATAAATTTATTGGGATAAAAAACCTTATTTTGATAAGCTATACTAAGAAGCTTATTGAAATTAGCTGAAAAGAGTTTATGAGAGTTACAAGCTATTTTCATAAGTTGTCCATAAGCTATTCTAAACAGGCTTTAAATATTTTTTTTTGTCCAGTGGCTTAAATGTATTTTTAATTTTCATAAATATGACTTTACATAGTTTTGGTTCTTCAATTTTTTTTTCCTTTGGTTTTAATTCTTGTAAATCTTTAAATTTTTAAAAAAAATGTTCCTGATCACTGTTAAGTTGTGACATGGCATGTAGAAAGTCATCTTATCTTACAATAATCGCTGATGTGGCATACAGCTCTCTCTATGTCATGCCACTACTTAACAATGACAAAGACCGTTTTTAAAATTTACAAAGATCAACACTAATGAAAAACCTTTTAAGAGATTAAAACCACATGAAATTATATTTACAGTGATTAGAAACATATTTAAACCTATGAATATTGAAAAATAGGGACAATCCATTGATACTGGAGCACATAATCTTGGATCTGTTGGGCTCACATATTCTGAACGCATTGCTCTAGACCCATCAGATAATTTGGCGTGAGACCTCTTTTTCTTCTTCACTTTTACTATTTTTGCACATTACATTCCTATACATTTTGTATCTAAAATTCATGTCTTCCTTTCAAGCAAGGATTGTCATTCTGGAAGTCTAAATGCGTCAATGGCAGCAGGCAAAATTGTTCTATGCTTTTCACTATCAGATCAACAAGACATTGTTTCTGCATCACTCACAGTCAAGGAAGCTGGAGGAGTTGGACTGATATATGCACAATATCATGAAGATGGACTCGATGGTTGTGGTTTGTTTCCATGTATTAAGGTAGATTATGAAGTCGGGACTGAAATATTAACCTATATTAGAAGAGCAAGGTGAGGAAATGTGCTTACATTGATGACATTGGCTTCTGAAAGTTCATTTTAGTTAAACTTAATGTTAAGCTTATCTCGAAGGTTTCCAACTGCAAGCCTGAGTTTTCCAAAGACTGTCATTGGAAAATTGATATCTCCAAAAGTTGCATCTTTCTCAGCTAGAGGACCAAGTAGCATGTCTCCAACAGTCCTAAAGGTATATCCGACCATATATTTAAAAAGGTTATTACTTGCTCAACCAGACCAAACTTTTTCAAAAATTTTGAGACAAGGATAATAATTGAATATAGTTTAGTACAACAAAAGCAATTTTCGTTTGAGTAAAGACATCAGGACTCATTATTAAGTCTATGAAGTGTGCTATGATCAAGAAATTGTAGTCAGAAACTTACCATAACACAAACATCTGCTCTTACTTGGTTTTTAATTGTATGATATCATCATTAACTTCTACTCTGGGGATGATTCATGGAGGTAGCCTGACATAGCTGCTCCAGGTGTGGACATTTTGGCTGCATTTCCACCAAAGGGCACTACAAAGAGCAGTGGATTTGCTTTCTTATCTGGAACTTCAATGTCTTGTCCCCATGTGGCAGGGATTTCAGCTCTCATCAAATCCAAGCACCCAACTTGGTCACCTGCAGCCATAAGATCAGCTTTGGTAACAACAGGTAAGTAAAAATTGACACATTAAGATTACATCTTTATGTGAGGGTGAGCCTTAGTTCATGTATTGATGTAGAAGTCGTAGGTTCAAATCCTGAAAATAACTTACTTGAGGAGATAAAGCTGCTTTATTTCCAAAGTAACTCTTCGTATCATTGTAAAATGTAGCCTCTCAAACTGGAACTGATGGAAGCATTATATCTGAAGAGGGTTCCACAAATAAAGCAGCAGACCCATTTGATATAGGAGGTGGATTTGTGAACCCCGACAAAGCAATGGATCCAGGACTCATATATGATGTAATCACTGAGGATTATATCCAATTCCTATGTTCCATGGGTCACAGTAGTGCATCCATTAGCGAAGTGACCAATACCACCACACGTTGTAAGAAAGTAAAACACCAAGCACTGAACCTTAACCTTCCTTCCATATCAGTTCCAAACTTGAAGAGGGCTACAACAGTAATGAGAACGGTGACAAATGTTGGAAACATAACTGCAGTCTACAAAGCTCTAGTGAAGGTTCCATATGGCATAAAAGTGAGTGTTGAACCTACAATTTTGAATTTCAGTTCAAACACCCGAGTCCTTACCTTCAATGTCAGTTTCATGTCAACTCAAAAGTTGCATGGAGATTACAAATTTGGGAGCTTAACATGGACTGATGGCAAGCATTTTGTGAGGACTCCAATAGCTGTGAGAACCAAACAGTTTGAATCTTAAGTGCATGTTATATGTAGAAATGAGATTATAATTGGCCAACAAACTACATGAGTTCTTGCTTGGAGTCATACTAAACGAAGCATATAGCACATTCTTTGGTGAGAACGTACAGCATATATTCTGAGGAACGATAACTATTTACTCATGGAATAAACTATCGAGTGTCAACATTATGTTTCTTGAGATTGCAACCAACAATTATATAGCTTTTAAATGAAATGGATGCTTGACCGATTTTATGATGTGAAGAGCAACTATCAATATTTGAAACCAAAAAATACACTGATTTGACGGTGGATTTTAGGAAATTGTTATTAAGGAATATAGTATTTATATGATTTGTACTTTATCTAAATAACAGTGCACAAAATATTTCAGACTTGAGCATATTTCAGGATTTACTGATTAGTATTCAACTATAAGAGACAGTTTAATTAATAAATTACTTCCTCTAATTGGGCACTTTCTAAAAGATTTAAATAATATTTATTATAAAACATTTTATGTTTCTTATAAAAAAAATTTCTTGTTTGTCGTTAGTAATAGAGTTGGTGCAAACTTAAACTAAAATCAATGACAAAAAAGTTAGCTTCAATAATATTAAATGGGAACAAATTTACCATATTATGATATTTTTTAAAACACAAAAAGATCAATTAATTCTAACTACTTTTATTATTTTTTATAATTTATTTAAATATACCTTATAAAAAGAAAAAAAAGTATATTTTAATAATTATCTTAAAATATTATTTTAATCATTAATTGATTAAATTAATTACTCTTTTTTATGCTGCGGCGGAACTTCATTCAATTAAAAATTAACATCTGAATAATAATAATAATATGTTAAATTTAAAATTCAATTTGAAGGTTTCTATTTTTTTTTAATACTTTGTCAATCGAAGTTTTAATGTGATTACCTATAATGACAATAGCATAATTATTAAAAAGTCAATCAAGAAGGTTAAAAATTAAAACATTTCTACTTCCTATCATTCTTTAAGTTTTGTTTAAGAGTTTGATAATAAAAGAGAATTTGAGAAGAGAAAAATAGGTAAAAAAGAGGAAAGATTAACAAAAACACTTCCCAATTTAAAATAACTTTATATAAGTTTATTAAAATTTCAAAAGAGTTTATAAATATTCTTCGTCACATTTAAAACTCTTGAATAAAGGTTATCACTATATAAATCTTTCCTTTCCGTACTTAAAATTAACTCCCAATCAAAACTTCAATATTTCTTGCAAAAGATACACATGGGAGATACAACAAATCGATTATTAGATGGGCAATTAGGAAAGTTAAAAATTATATATCTGTTCACTCCCGTTCCTTTACAATAAAACACGAAGACAAGCTTAATGGAATTCTGTTCCATTTCCTTATTCATTTCCAAACAAAAGGTAAGGGGGAAACAAGCTAACATACATTGCTACAACGTTACAAGAGCAAGTAACCTACGAAGCAAATCAAGAGAAATAAATCGATTGATACAAAATTATGCTATCAGAATAACACTTATGACGGAGCACCAAGATATGAGGCAAGTCGCAATATATCGCTGAATATTCCACCGGCAGTGACTTGAGCACCAGCTCCTGGCCCGCGAACTATGAGAGGCTGATTCTTATACCTTCTTGTTGTAAATGCAATAATATTGTCTGACCCAGACAATTGTGCAAATGGATGATTCTTCTTGTATCTTCGCAGCTCTACCACTCCTTTCTTATTAGTCACGTCCACTACTCCCACGTATCTCAAGACCTTCAAAGTTCAAATATAACAATTCCAAAGTTGTGGGAGTGAGTGTCTATGCATATATGAGAGAGAGAGAGAGATGTCATCATGAAAAATATATGTATATATAGCAAGGACACAGAAACAGGAAACCACAAACCCAACATAAATCAAACGTTATTCTTTTTACTTGAAATCATGGTCTACATGGAAATCTAGGTTGCTTTGCAATATTTAAGTTTACTTCTATTAGAAAGTACTGTGGTATGTCATAGGTTTAATCAGAAAATGCCTAGCCCACGTCCAGCATCTTAAAAGTACTACTTTATGTTTCTGTCCCATGCATTATGCCGAATTAAAATATACAACAGAAAAAGGGTGTGCTTGATTTGCAAAAGCATTTTTTTGTCATTCTCTTTTTTCATTAATAATTATACAAACACCCCTTTTTCACCATTACTTGTACATATATTTAAAAACAGAAAACAAAATGAAAATAAAGTAGCAAACTAGCAGTTTTTGTAATTTGCAGTGAAACCACAGATTCTGAACATTTTGACAAACAAAACAAACCCTAAAATATTCTACGCATGTATTATGCAAGGATGATGCAGTTAAAAGAACTATTCTTTTAGATACTTTAACACAATTACTCACTTCCCCAGCTTTCTCAGCATCTTCTTGTTTCTTTGCAAACTCCTGGTCAAATTTTGGTAGCTCTTGCATAAACTCCCGAGCTGATGAACAAACCTGCACAGAATCATCAAAACATTAATGTCAGCAAAATGCTAAATACCAAAACTAAGAACTGCATAATCAATAGAGATTGGTTCTTACTTGAAGTGGTTCTGGCACAAGGCTTTCAACTGGAATATCGGACAGTTCTAGCTTTAAACCAGATTCCCTAGCAAGAATTATCACCTGTGATGAAGCATAAAAATACTATCATGAACCAAATTTGAGATTGTGATGAACCTACATGTTCCAATTAGCTATAGCAGCAACAATAACCAAGTCTTCCAACTAGTTACAACAACAAAACAACAACTAAGCCTTATTTCACTAGGTGTGATCGGCTACATAATTCACATGAAGTCATTGAGTTAGGTTAAAAACTAAATTTTCAGAAATCTGGTTAATCAAAAGGTTTCTATTGTAAATTATGTCTACAAACAAACTATGAACCTCTAAATCTTTTACTTGTTAAGTTGATAGGTAGATGTAAATCAAATTTAAATCTAGTTTGCAAATGTTCAAGCTTCAAATCAAATATTTAATTTGGACTTGGATCAATTAAATTACAGCCCTACTCATAAATCCTAAACAAAACTGAAACTCAATATGCCCTGCAGCATAAGGAACTTTATTAACAATTTAACATTTGACGACAAAATTTGGTACATATATACCATGCTATAAAGTATACCTTTCTAGCAACATCTGTTCCAGCCAGATCATCCCTTGGATCTGGCTCAGTATAACCTGCTTCCTTTGCTTCAGCAACTACGTCACTAAAGGCCCGGCCATCCTTAAAGTTATTAAATATGTAACTCAAAGTCCCACTGCAGAGTCAAAGGGAATAACTTATGGTGAATGCCCAAGATTGATCAATGATGCCTAGAGACATTAATAATCCTTGAAATAATGTTCTAATTAATTTGTCTTTATGTGAAAATTGACGTTAGGTGGGAAAATGAGACTGATTCAAAGATCATCACAAGTCTCCAAGCCTGAGAATTTTGGCAGTGTTAATCCACAAATTTAGACAAATAAAGACAAAAAACACATCAACGCGAACCTAAAGATGCCTTCAATTTGCAATATTCTGTCTCCAGTTTCAAGGAGGCCACGTAAAGTACTAACAATGGGAAGACCAGCTCCAACAGTAGCTTCATAGAAGTAGTGTGTATAGGATTGCCTTTGAAGAGCTCTTAACCTCAAGTACTGGATGAAGAGAGTGAAGGTGTGAGAAAACTCCAACATCAGTACTAACTATGACTACAAAGTAACCATCAAACGAAGTAATGTACTAGCGACAGCTGCTGAAGCTTAAAGAAAACACTTTCAAAATTATGAAAAATATTATTAAAAAATGTCTTGAAAGTACTTGTTCAATCAGAAGAACATGATCCCAACACAATGCCTACTGTTGTTGACTACCAGTTTATGCTAACAATAAATTTATATTGTAGATGTTAATAACTAAACAAACGATGGAACATCAATCAGTTTAACAATAACAAATTACCAAAATGCCAAAAATATAATTAAAGATGGCAAGACATTGCAGACTGGTTGACATCCGCAATAAAACAGTAACAGCCTATATTTATAAATCTTTATTTTTTATTATCAAATTAATTACTCAAGTTCCTCATCGCTCGGTTTGAGATCCTTTAGAACACTTGCCCTGCCAACTATCGGAGTTTAGTCAGGTTTAGAGAGAGAAAGAGAGATAGAAAAACAAGAGTGAGAAAACTGTTTGGATCTGAAATGATGTATCAATTCATTAATTCACTTCAGCACTTATATAATGAGTTTCAGCTTGCTCCATAATAACCAGCATATTTCTTCTGATAGATGGCTTACTTAATATGCTGACTCAGCAAACTACAAATGGCAGCTGTATAGCTACTGGACAGTTAAACTACAGTTATTCTAATATAAGTAAATATGATAGCTGCAAAAAAAAATAAACATAATTTAAAAGATGATGTTTTGGTTTTCGAAAAAAAGAGGATACAATGATGAATATAGGTGTAAAAGTGGCCTATCAAAATTCCCATATATTTATGATGCAATGATGTGGCTATTCTTTTCAAACAAAATTACAAACAAGAAATTCCCCTTTCCTTGATTTATTCTTTAATTTTATAATAAAACAAAAAAATACAAACTTAGAAAGTAAATAAATCTAAATTAATGTATAGGAATTTCCATTACTTGGAAAAAAAAAAAGGTTTTGTAATATCAAAAGCCTATAGTATTAATTACAGAAGATAAGTCAAAATATGCTATCCATCAAAAGCACAATATAAATTACTCTACCTGATCAAGTGGTCCTGAATTTGCCTTCTTATTTGGAGTAACTACATGTATTCCTTTGCGCAACCAGTCATAGTAATAGCCAGCAATGACAGAGTCAGCAGTGCAGTCCACTAATGCTGTGTTTGGTATAAAATGATTCCCATGGACATGTTGAACAAATTTTTCCAAATCAGTTGCTTCTCCTCTTTCTTCTCGAAGTTCTCTCCATCTAGCTAAGTCAATGCCCCTGCAAGGAGCAATTACAGTATATAATGATTGAACAAGAACCAACTTTGTCAATATGCTAAAAAATCATTGGATGAATTTTGCAGATGAAGTCATGTAGTTCTGAGACCAGTGTAACCAATGAATTCCTTTTGCCAACAGAAGAACTTA